CATCATTAATAAACATTTAATCATATATTAGCAACACACAATATTTTCATCACATAACACAACTCATACTAATCAACCTAAGTACCCAAAGGAGTTCCCAACTCACATACAACCAACAACTTTACCATCTAGCTTTCCTTACCTGAAGATTGGCTCAGAATAGCCAAGAAGCGAAATTCCCTTTCCGAAGCTCAACCCGGAACTTCAATCCACCCAAAGCAAGCTACTTAGTCCAGAGTCCTTATCTCTAAAACTTCTCTCTAAAAACCTCCTCTTCTCCTCAACCACCCAACTCTATTTATAGAAGTTCAGGAGTGGCCAAAACGGCCTGATCCAAATCCGGAACGGCCCGATCTGCACCCCTTCATCATGTGTAAAAATCACATGCAGAACGGCCTGTTCTGAAATCAGAATGACCCGTTCTGGGACTCATCCAGAACGGTCCGTTCTCCATCCATAACGGCCCGTACTCCATCCAGAACGGCCCGTTCTAGGGTTTGGAACGCCCCGTTCTCAACTACATTTTATAGGTCAATTCAGTAGTTTGGAACGGCCCGTTCCAGTTTTGGAACGACCTGTTCTAGGCTACTGAATCACCCATACTGGGTTTTTGGGCCTTCTGAAACAACTTGCTACATTACAATTTGGTGGTTCAAGGTTGTGGAAGATAGAATTGGAGTTGTGCAGAACTTTATGGAGAGAGAGCTCAAAGCTTACTTCCTTCTTCTTTCTCCTTTATTTTCTTAAATCTCAAAGGTAAGGGAAACTATAACTTTATCTTTATTGATTTCACATGATCCATATTGATTTTCACTCCAATTATTGATTGAATAACATATTTTGGTGGTTGTGTGGTTGTTGAATTGAGGTTTGGGTTTTTGGCTCTTGAGATTTTAGGTGCCTTTGAAAATATTTGTAGAATCAAGCTAGTTAATGATTGCATGTTGATAATGTGAATGTATTCAAGTTGTTTATGATGCTTATGAATGTTTTACTATATAGCATGCTTGAATTCTTTTGAGTTTTAGATAGATTGGACTAATTTATGATTCTTCTAAATGTAATTTCACAATTGTGTTAAAGGTAGTTATATGACATCAAGCATGATATAGGTTAGACACTCTTTACCTCATTGACATTAGACGCAAAATTAATAACATTAAGTTATTACATAAATATTTTAGATTGATTTTTCAATTATATGTTCATATTAATTCTTTTGATATATGATAACAATCCTAAGGCTCCTAATATACTTTTTTTTATTAGTGAGAGTTACAATAACAATACTATAATTCAAATTTAAGATTCTATACATATTATTATAACATTTTACTACTAGGTTGATTCTAGATTGATCATAGTGGTATGCTCTTGATATATTTATCTCTAATTTAATTAGAAATTCAATGTGAATCATAGAATTATAATCTAAGTTATATTTTTATATTATATATATATATTTTTAAGAAACTTATTATATTTTGCATTTAGTATCATATATATTTCAATTTGAAGAAAAGTAATATATATCATATTAATATATTTTTAGATTATATATTTAAATGAATAGTTATAAATTATATTATTTTTATTATTGTCTAAGTTAATTAAAATATAAATTTGATTAAATATTAAATAAGTATTGTTCAATATATTTTGCACGTAAGTCCGCTCGCTCGTCCATCCACATGCACACATGTCAAATTTAAAATTTAAAATGCAGTTATAGTAAAAATTTAGATAAAAAATAATTAAACATGATCTATTACCGAATCAAACATTTATAAATCATATATTATAAGAAACGTTATTCAAACTTTTATAAGACAAGTATATTCTAACTTTAAAAAGTAATATGGATTCGATAGATGTTATTCGAATAAATAATTTGATTATTAAATATATATAATAATTTTAGTTAACTTAAGGAAAAATATAGTTCAATTCAATCAATGTAATGATTATTATTACATGTTTTTAAAGTAATATTATATTGAATTAAATTAGAATAATTTAAAATATGACCTGAACTCACTTTAAAAATATATCACATTTAACTTTTAGAATCCAATCTTGTGTCGGTTAACTCAAGTTTACCTTAAACATTTATATAATTGAGATTTGGTTATAGTAAAAGGACTTAAATATTTACAAAATAATGAAATCTAGTTAAATCCGTGTTAGAGTGTTAGAGCATCTCTGATGGAGGTTGCTTATAAGCAATTCCTGTGCTACCCTGTGTCACATCATTGTCAAATTAGTTCTGGCCCACTTTATGAGGTTGCTTAAATTTTAGCAAAGTTATTTCTATAAATAACTCTGCTAAAATTTAAGCAACCCATAAAGTGGGTCAGAGCTGATGTGACAGTGATGTGGTAGAGAGATTGTTTATAAGCAACCTCCATTACAGATACTCTTAAGATATTTATAAGAAGCGGGGTTATATTTTAAATAAACCTATTACTATCTCAGCAGAACGTCCCGTACTGCTTCTAGAACGGCCCGTTCTCCATACCAGAACGGCCCGTTCCAGTCCCGTTCTGGGTCTTTAAAAACAAGCATATTCTTTCTTTTGGAACGGCCCGTTCCGACACCCAGAAATACCCTTGTTCCTTTATTAAAATGACGAAAATGCCATCAATAATTACGAAAATGCCATCTTTTTAAAAAAACTGGGTGTTAAGATCGATGATTATTATAGTACAAATATGAGATTGTTTATTTGAGGATGACTTAAATGAATTAATTTGTACAAGTTATACTGACAACATACATAGACATTTCGGTAGCTTACTCATCAGAACTTCACAGTTAAGCGTATTTGACCTAGAGTAGTACTGGGATGGGTGACCTTCTGGAAGTCTCCCAGAAATTACACAGGTAAGGATAAAACACGCTAAATAGTGAAATATTGTGAAATAAAACCCTTGAGAGGCCAAATACGAGAGTTGTTACATTAATAAATTTATTAAAATTAAAAAAAAATTATAATTTTCGACGGATTTTTCTGTCAAAAATTTTGACAGCAATTTTCGACGAATTTTTCTGTCAGAAATTTCTGACGGAATTTTTCGATGGCATTTTCCATCGGAAAATTGTCGCAAAAATTATTTCCGACGGATTTTTTTTTCCGACGCCATTTTTTCCGACGGATTTCAATCCGTTGAAAATCTGTCAAAAAAAAGCAAAATCCGTCAGAAATTTACCTATTTCTGTCGGAAATTTCCGTCGGAAATCAACATTTTTCTTGTAGTGTACACTATACTTTAAGAAAAAAAATATTATCTTTAATGATGATCATTGATTGGAACACCAATATAAAAAAAATTATATAAAAAAAATCTGGCGTAAAAGGAAATTTCATTTAATTTCTACGGTAAAATCCTTAAATTTGTCCCAGTATATAAAAATTTGTTGCTATACATTTTCGTTTTTTCTTTTGTACCAAAATCAAATTTATTGTTTTTTTTTTATAAATATTTTTCAGGTATGATGATATGATTTTGTGACTGCAATATGTAATTTTAATGACAAAGCATTTAATTCAGAATCTGTGACACATTGGCAATTCTGTTCTGATCACAAATTTAGAGTCCAATTATATAAATCTCGTGCGCCTCCTTTTTAATTACAACCAAACAAATATTTAACTACTATTAACAAAATCAATGACAGTGATTGGGCGCGTCACGCTATTATCATATAAATAATTTAACTACCATCGGCATCACAATTTTTAATTTTGCCGGTGAACTCACTCAAAGTCTGAATTATGTTCTACAAGCACCAGCGGCGTGTATCATCTACCCTCTACACTAATGCTTGCAAATTAATTACTATTAAATTTCAAATTGAAGATGGACCAGTTTTTTCGCTTGTGATTTTGTAAAACAAATTTCGCCATTATAAACATTAAAATTAGGGGTAAAACGGATATCCTTTCCGATGGATGAATCTAGTTATATTATGCTTGAAAACTCTGAAAATAAAAGAATCATATTTAACATTTCAATATTATAATTATTAACTTTTAAAAATTACATTTAAAATATGAAAAATCACATTACAAATGTGAAATTAATGTATGTTTGACAACATAGTAATTCAAATCGAAAAAATCTTAATCAAGTTTTTTTTATTTGATAGTTGTAAGGTCTGTTATAAAATATAAGAGTTGACTTGGTACTCTTAAATTTAATTTTTGTTTATATTAAAATAATATTTAATTAATGAAAATCACATCTCTTAAATACAGATAATTAATTTTTATGTATCAAATTTAAAACATTACGTAGATTATATTCATGGACCAAAGAAAAAAAAAATGGTGATAGTCTTAAAACTACGTTTTTGGTATGTGGAAATTGTGGTACTATGATGATTTCAACATATATAGATTTACTTTCGGGAAAATTGTTAGTATGTGAAAATCAATAATCATGACTTGAGTTATTTTAAGCTATTATCTGAGTAACTCATGCTTCGCTTAACTCACTCTACTGTACTTGTTAATTTAGAACATTGAGGGACTTATCATTTAGTTTTACACTTAACTCGCTTATTAGAAAGGAATGAAGAATGGTGATAACTATTAGAAACTGGATCGGCAAGATCACTAGGCGGATCCCCCTAGAGAAACACACTGTCGTCAGTAGCTTAGCTTCTTGTCGTTGAACAGCACTGCCTCTTTGGCCACCAAAGTTTCATAAAGTCTCGTCTCACCTCCCTTTGTAAAATAACTCCTTTATAGAAGAAAAATATAAAATGATTAATGTGTCCTTACTAAGAAATTTCAATATAATAAAAACCTATATTATTAAAAAAAAAAAAAGTGGTAAATAATAATGGTAATGATGGTGATTTGACTTGGTATATTTTAGTCAGCGAAGGAGGGGACATTGGGAGGGAAATAATGAAACGTCAAAAGGCATGCAAAACGTTCATTAAAGCCCCCAACCAAACTTTCTCAGCCATTTAATCACATGCATCTAATTTTGAACCACTACTATAAAGCTTCTCTAGTATCCACGCTTCTCCATTACCAGAGGAATCCACAGCATTAACACACACATACCAGGATGAGTCGTCTCACATGGCTATTATTGTTGACCCTAAATCTGGTGGCAACTTCGGAGGCAAGGAATAATATCCCTGCCGTTATAGTGTTCGGAGACTCCTCTGTGGATTCTGGGAACAACAACGTCATAGCCACTGTTCTGAAGAGCAACTTCAAGCCTTATGGACGAGACTTCGAAGGTGGTCGTCCCACGGGACGGTTCTGCAATGGTCGTGTCCCACCAGACTTCATTGCTGAGGCTTTAGGGATTAAACGCACCATTCCTGATC